TAAACAAATCGAATGATGAAGTGTGGCCCATATATATTTGGTACCTTTCTGTACCAATATTTATGTGTTTAAATAAATAAATAATAAGTTATCTATGTGAATTACAATGAACATTTTTCATGAATAGGAGGATATTAAAATATTTATTTGTTTTTATTGAAGGTGGGAATAAATTCCAAATTGCCGTTAAATATATATAAATATTTTATTTCAAAATTGATTACAAATCTAGGAGTTCCTAAATCTTCGTCTTACTCTAGGATTTAAAAAAAATTTATATTCATCTATCAACTCTTATCACGTTATGAGTCTACCTGTTCTCTTCTACCTATGACCTCTCCTCTTGTCTCAAGGGGGCGGTTACTCCATGAAAAATAAGTGTACTTTTATCTCATACTTTTGTTCCATATCTTTGCTCTTTCAATGTTGTTGTTGTTACTCTCTTAGATAGATTTCATTAATTTCAAATCGATTATTTTCTGCTCTTTGATATATCCTCTGTGATGTTTGAATATTATGTGACTTGATACATGTACGACCGTAATGTTAGTTCTAATGGTTGGGACCATAATTTATGGACGAAATCAAATTTAAGCTAGATACTCTGGAATTTTATGGAAAGTCCATTTTTTCATATTACTAATTAGTATTTTGATATTAAAACTGACTTTAATTCATGGTGAAAATTCTTGCTCTAATTCCTAATCTGAATTCTTCACACTAATTCATAACCTTATTTTGACTTTAATCAGTGGCTGAAGTTTTTTAGAGGCACTCGAATATCGCCCAAACGTTCATGAAGTTTAGTTTTACCGATCCTATGTTCTTACTGATTTTCTGCTAGATATGAGAAAACCATTTCGATTATGCTTTTCAAGAGGCCATAAATAACGAGTTAATTGAGATATATTTGTGTATAAATTATACCTAGAGTTGGTCACTTCCTACTACAACAATATTATGGGCGTAATTATAAAAGGACCACAAAATCCCTTAGCTAGTGACACGTATATATGTGTACTGTATGAAAACCCATAAGTTTTGCGAATAGAATCTCTTAAACCATAAAAGTCACTTTTTTTGGTAAATTTTCATGTAAATGTCCTCTTAGTGATGATGATGACGTTAGTCTCAGAAATTACCATCATGTTTATTATTTATGTTGTTTTTATGTGTTGTCTTGCAGATTTTTATTTAGTTCATTTTATCATCTTTCAAAAGAAGTTTACTTGCTTTCTTATTTTGCGATATAAATAAATTATATCAACTTGGATTGATATGTATGCTTTACTACAAATTTCTTTTTTTTCTCCGTTAGTCAATCATTAATTTGTTAATAGAAATTATTCTATAAAATATTGTTCAATTTGTTTGTCCACTTAAACCTTGAAAATGAAGAACAGCGCTCGCCTACTCACAAGTTCAGGATTGATGTAACACTAGGATTATAATAATATGTTGCAGTTTTTATTTTAGATTGAAGCCTTTTTCAGTCATAAATATATTCGTAAATTGTAGTTGTCACAGGTTGATCTCAGTTAAGGTATTGTTGAAAACTAAGAAGCATTAACACATTTGTTTTGTCCTAGTGTTAGATACTTCATTAATGTGCACTTACAACCTCATCAAGGATCTTGAGGTCTCTCGGTGAATGCTTAATCATTAGACACTAAGTCAGTACTCAATTGTACAATTGCATATGTGATCAATTCGTTATGTAATGTGATGAGCATCACATACTATTAATGACAACTGTTTCATTTCTCAATAAAACTGTAATCAACAAATAGCAAAATAAACAGTTTCATATTAGGCTTTGTTGATGCTGATGATGATGATCACGATGTCTTCAATATATCATCAACACACCCATTGTCTAAAAAATGTGCTATCATTCTCATGCGTATTTATTAAACGAGTCTCCTTATTTTATGAATTCACCTTGATTCAACTGAATAAACTAAGTATGATATGTATCATAGCTGTCAGTTTAAATTACTCTAGATAGTAGTTTATTTCTCTAAATTACCGATCTTAATTTTCTCTCATCACATGATCATCTAATGATGCTTTCTGTAATTAATAATTCAACAGTTGATTCAGTGTTTTCTGCTCTGAATGTTTAATAATCTTTTTTTAGAAAACTGGCCCTCGTTCTACTACTACTATTACTGGACGGCCTATTTTCGCATTATTATTATTTTTATTATTACTGTTATTAGTTCATTGGGCGTGTATACCTTGTAATAAAAAAGGCCTGTTGCTATGGTGCTTTTTAGTGATCCAAACCTAGAGAAAGTCAATATCTATTGTAGTGTAAATATGAACTTGTAATATAGAGGACATATATGTTTATAGACCTATTATTCAATCATTGGAATAGTATTGGACACAGTCAAGTTTTATTGCATGTTATGATCATCGTCTATGTAAATTTTATTTAAACATTCATCCATTTATTCACTCACTAACTCACTATAAATAGTAAATAATCATAAATGCTACTGAATAATCATATTCAACGTATTTTACGATGAACCACACCTTATTATTGTGTTGTTGTATGATGACAATCTATGTATCATAAATTGTTAGAAACCATACATTCTTTGTAAGCGGTATTGAATAGTAATTTTGAAACTAATGAATAATGATAATGATTATAATGGTAGGAGATATTTGTTAGGAGAAATCTGATTCTGGAAGAAAATAGAAGATTGTGGGATAAAAACGCTTTTAGATAATTAAGTATCTTAGGACAGAAAGAATGAAGTCATTTACACTATTGTGACCAAATCTGTTATTCATTTTCTCTAACCATTAATTACCACAATCACACTGTCACGAACCAACTAGTCTGTACTCACTTATATGGCTTAACCTAAAAGTTAACGACTTTGTGGACTGATGCCATGTTTTGGTTTGACTATTCCTAGTTACTTCCAACCTATTCGTCACATCAACTATCATAACGCCTCGAGACAAGCAGTGGTTGAGCACGTGTAATATCATACTCCAAGCACTTGAATCGATCGGTTTGTAATCCTTATTTTCTCATCAACCATAATGTTTTGAGAATGCAATACTGTTAATAGATATATGTGTTATCCGAATAATTACTACTGTTATTAGTACTACTACTTGATCATAAAATGACCATACTTCTATCATTTTCACAGTACCAAATTTTATCTCGAAACGGGATTGTTTTTAAAATTTATAACTACTTACTGATTAGAAGTTTGCAAATGATCGGTTAGTCTTTTCTCCTCCTCCTACTTTTTAATATTTTCTGGGCTCATTCCTATTCGACTTGTCTATTGAATTTCGTATTGTTACTTATTATGAGATTAAAATCCATAGGAAAACGTAGAAACTTATGTAGTTATAGTGTTGGAGATAGTTGCAAATCAACTGACTACTTATCGTATAATTCTATTATTTACATCATGGACTGACCTTACTTAAACATCCAATGAAAACCAGAAAGCATTGGAAAAAAGTTTTGGTCTGGTGTGGGACTCCTCAGCAGTGCACATCCTCTAACCTACCAAGAAGGGAACCTAGAATATTCAGGTCTCGTGGTGAATGCATAGTGGGACGAAAAGCTATATAATGCTTTTTAGTTCTCACGGTCTATTGAAATAAGGTCAGTTTGTGATGTAAGCCTTAAAACTCAGTAGTTTCCACAACCATTTTTTGTGGTGATTTAAATCTTACCGCTGATATTAAAGACTAGATTTGATCAATCTATATTTGGCACTTGTGTATCCTAAGTGGACCTCCTCGGTATTGTCATTAAATCACATGTTGTAAGTAAAGTTGAATAGTGACTATCAGTAGAATCAAGAAGGCGCGTCAGATTCTATTTGAAACTTATCAATTGCATGTACCTTTACTCCTGTATTGATTTCACACCGGGACTCGAAACCAGTACCATTAGTATCAAATACCCAACGCGCTATTTACTAAGCTACTGAGTGCAGATAGCTTATAAAGCGGGGATAAGTTTTTGTAACTATTTGAGTCTTCGCATTTTCGATTTTAAGAACCGCAATTAGTCACTCTACCAGGTCCTAATCTCTGTATGAACATCAGTACTGAAATGCAAGTATTAAATAGGATGCGACGCACTCTGAATTCTGCTGATAGCTGCAATTCAGCTTTACGTAAAATCTTCACTAACCCCTTCATGTTAATCATATTATTTATTGTCAGTTTTGTAACAATTCATCAGATAAAAATTCTACTTAAATTGTTAACAGATTACTTATTTAGAATTGTGACTCTAATAGTCAATATGAATCGGACATGATAAAATAATGCTAGAATATAATAATAAAATGTGTTGTTAATTTTTTCTAACATGTAACCATAAATAATTATGAAATGATGACAGCCTCATCTTCTAATGAATGGTTATTTAGAAAAAAAACACTTAAGTCAATTGTTCACGACAATTTAAATAATGATAATTCCTCTGTATATAAACCACTTGACAATTCTTACTAATTGGTCACCGAGCAATGAATAGTTAAATGTTTGCCTAATTCTGTAGTGCTTATCCAGGTGCAGTATAGCCACTGGTTTGAGTGACTCGATATCGCATCACTACTAAAGGCTTAGACAAATATCGCGTTTGTTCACTACTCATTTATCAGTTAATATATTTCAGTCATTCAGTCCTTCAGTTGTATGCTCTCATTTAGAAAAGGATATATGAGAAATTGTATATAGGCTTAACGTTGAATAAATGTTTTGTTCCATCCCTTAAAACTTTCAGCAATTGCTACAACTTTTTTCACTATCAGTGTTATTGGCATCATGCTTACCAAGCCATGAGGTAAACATTAAAAGGTTACAAATGAAGCTTTTCAAGACTTCTTTTGAAAGAGTATTTAAATAATCTAAATGAGAAATAGAAACTTATTTTGAAAGATTCACTTTGATGTGTTAAATTCTACTGAGGGATTTTTCTCTTTCATTTTTACTTACGTTAGGTTAGTGATGATGAAGCTAGACGTCGTGCTAAACGGCGTGAACGTAATCGAGTCGCAGCGGCCAAATGTAGACAAAGAAGACAAGATCAAATTGAAGAGTTACAACATCGTGTTGATGCATTGACTAGAACAGGACAAGAACTTCGTTCATCTCTACATTCGTTAGATTTAGAACGAGCTAGACTAGAAAGTCTTGTGGAAGAGCATAAAGTGAGTTGATTTATCACTTTTAAATAATTATATTACTCTTTTTAAACTAAAAAATCACAATGTTCAATCAAATTGAGGAAAAAAAAGTTTGTTAAATTACATTTGCGTTTGTATACATTTTGTGGTTAAGATTTGCATCCAATGTTTCATTTAGTAATGTATTTGAGCGATTGAGTTGGAATCATTTCATGTTACACCTTCATACCTCAATCCTGCCCCACATATTTTCCCTCAACTTTACCATACTGATAGATTACATCTTCAGTTGACCAGGAAATATTTTCATTGGCCTGAACTAATTATTATTTTTGTTGTGTTAATACATTAATCATTTTTTTTGAGATTACTTGTGACATAACATAACGTTTTTGTCGTTCATGCACTTAATAATAAATACAACGACTTGATATACTATATAGCAGACTGAGTAGACTACATCACGATATTTGATCACTATATTCAATCATGTGATACACAGACACAAGTCCAACCAAGGACTGGAAATGAGATAATAGAGACACGATATTGTAATCAGTGCAACTACAAGCAGTCAACCACACTTTAATCCGCGTAGGAATCTTGAGTGAATAATTTGTGAAATCAATAGTAGGAAAGAGTTTACAGTATTATTTAGTGTCTTATATGTTCAACATAACTTGATATCTATTTTCACTCACTGAGGAGGAGTCATGGCTCATGAGTAGTAGTTCGTTAGCAGTGTTTGTATGAAGATGGAATTACATGGTCGTCTTTAAATTGCCAATTGATATAAATTTTACTAGAAACGTTTGTCTCTAACTATATTCAATATTAAATGAAATACGGCATGATCATGAGATATTTTATATTGCTTCGACTATTTCGGTAAGAATAAATAGGCGGCATTATCAACATTAATATTGTTATTTTTTAGACAGCCGAAGGTAATTTCGAGCTACGAACGACTGGGAGATTCTTCTAGTCATAAAAAAGGTCAACGCGAACTAGATGAATCAGATAACCATAATACTCAACACTTCATGTGATACAAAAGAGGGAAGTCAGGAACTCAGGAAAAGCTTGATATTAAAAGGAGTCGTAATTGGAATAAAACAACTCTGTTTATGTAGCACGACTAATCAAATAATAACAGTTACTTACTTACTTACGCCTGTTACTCCTCGTGAAGGAGCATAGGCCGCTCACCAGCGTTCTCCATCCAACCCTGTCCTGGGCAATCCTTTCTAGCTCCGTCCAGTTGTAATTCATCGTTTTCATATCTGCTTCTATTATCCGACGCAATGTGTTCTTTGGCTTTCCTCTTTTTCGCTTCCCTTCAAGATTCCAATTTAGGGCTTGCCTCGTGATGCAGTTTGACGATTTGCGTAATGTATGTCCTATCCATTTCCATCGTCTTTTCCTAATTTCTTCTTCAGCTGGATCAGTACTAAAAATACGAATCGGGAAAAATTACTTGAGGCTTTTGTACGCGTCAAAACTGCCGTTTATCGGTAGAAAGCTAAATTATTTAAGAACTTGCTACGTCTGTGTCAAAGCCGACTTGACAAATATGGGCGAAGTTGACAGCTTTCCCATGATGATCTGTTAGTGTGTGGCTCTATGAAGTTTGATTAACTTCATTTTTAGTCACCTTGTTGTTTCCATACTGTCGATGTAAAAAAACCCTGTTACTGGATTGCTATTTCGTTAATAACATTATATCACAATCATGATTTTTTTTACTTATCAGTAAGTAATATAGTGACTAATTAGAAGTCTTTATCAATTAAATTAACAATTTTCTGAATTTAGTTCAGTCAATTAGTTAGTTATTTATCTAATAAAGTTGAAATTTTGCAAAATTTAATTATGTCCACTGAACAACTGGGTCAATACAACAAAGATGAAAAGTAATTTCAAAAAATTTAACGACCTGATATTCGTCTCTTCAAGCTAATGTGATGATGATGATATGTTGTGTATTGTTTTTAACACCAGTGGGTATGGTACTGGTCATATTGTCAGTTATTTGTTTGCTTTATTTTTCTTGGATATGATAGGATGGTTTTAGTCAGTGTTGAAATGAAATAATCTGAATTGATAAATACTGATCATTTTCTTTTCTTTTTTTCATTAGTTAATGTGAAAAATTTAAGATAAATGCAGTGAAATAGACAAATAGAATAGAACTATATGCAAAATAGTAAATTAACTCATTTAAAATTTGTCAGAATTATCCCATAGACAAAAAAATATTTAGACAACAGAGATGGAATAAAACTAACAGACAAAACTAAAACAGATACTCAAACGAATAAACCTCTAAACATAGTTTATTTAACAAGTAAAGTCTTATGTACGCGAGGCTTTTGATCTAGTCGACTTTTCGTGATAATTCCCAACTGTTTAAATGAAAATAGATAGATCTATGTTCATATTGACAAATTTTAGACTAAAAACCTAATGTCTTTTATTCAACTAAATTAAACAAGGTATGAGTATCAACTACCATCAAATTACTTGTGGACTAAATATCAGATTTTCTGAATATTTGCAGAGTTATACCCTACCAACATTTAAATTTCCAGTTGGTCCTACTTCGTATCACATCATGACAGCAATAATAACAATAAATAATAATAATAATAATAATAATAATAATAATAATAATAATAATAATAATAATAATGACTTTATACAAAATAGTTATCTACAAGAAACTCACAAGAAGATCTAATAAAATTATTGTTTGTTAGTCTACTCATTGTGGAATTGGACATGAACATTTGTATCCAATATCTCCCCCCATCTAGAACGTTAATGCTTCAACATCCACAATAACAAACCTCAAAATCAATGTCAGCTATTCACATCAACAGGAACAAATCTTATTTTCTGGATCGTTTTATTTTATATAATCTGTGGCTATTTAATTACCTCTTTTCTTATTGAGCTAATAAAATTGATTTTTGTGGTATATGTATGGTGGTATGAAAAATTTTTGCTCAGTCAACCCAACCGTGTCACGATGTGGATTCTTGAAGAGATAACACATACTAGATGACTGCAACATATCTCGAATGAGTTAATTAGTCATCAGTAGTCAAGTGGGTAGGTAGTTAGGTGGTGGTGACTACCAACCAGCCACCTGACTTCAGTGTACTACTATCAAAACTAAAAATACTTGGTAAACAAGCAAGTCGAAACTAGTTTGTCAAAGTATTTATTGTTATTGTTGTTACTAGTATTATTACTATTATTACCATTATCATTACTATTATGTACAAGTGGAAGTACACAAAAGGTCAAACAAGCAATAACCATCTTCAATATATTTTCACCACATTGGTCTTCATAAAAATTGAACAAAAATTCATGTTCCTTGCTCTTGTAGACAGTAAAAATTAGTCACAAAACTATATTTCATACATTTGTCTGAGTGCTTGTCACTAACTACAACAGAGGAAACAACGATACACATGACGTGTACACTGCACTTCACATCTTTATCACTGAAACTACCATTCACACTGTTCACATAACATTACGTGCAGATACTCGAAAGCATTTGGTCACAAACAAATATCGACACAGTATTCGTCGACCGAATGTAATGAAGCTGTCGATTGAGAAGTGAGATACCGTGATTGAGTTTGCTCGGTGGTAATCAACATCCATCATTGACTGATTCACTTCGAATGTGTGTGTTACATAAGTACTGTTTAGTCCTGTCACTCCGTTTCTCGAAGTGACAATCAGTTGTTAAACTGTTAACGACAAGAAAAGGAAAACTGGCAACCAGTCACTTCATATTATCACATTTTACTGTTGATCTCTGTTGTATGTAAGAAGGTGAACGCTTCTGATGAGATTATCTTTTAACCAGTTATTCGACAGTTTAGACTATGTTGTCATCATAGTAGAGTGCAAATGTACCTAATATTTAACGTTCTTTAAATCCTGAAAATGTTACTCTTTTATACAGTGACCAAACACCCTTTGTTTACACTCTTCAAATATTCCGTCTTACACTTTATTCCAGTTCTCCCTCCAATATAGTCAACCTTATTATTACTTTCTTTATATCGAATTTTCTCTCACAGTGTTGATATGTTGCGTAAAAATCGTTTTTGTGTCTATTCACTGGACATTACCTTATCTACCTGCAGTGGTTTGTGCACAATTCTCAGTTTAGTTTAGTTCAATTCAATTGAGTATTGTGTTTCATCTTGTGTTTCGAGATCAATCATCCCATTGTTAGTTCATGTCATGTTACGTACATATGCATATATATATTTGTGTGTTTGCATGAGGATAATGATAGAGTTTAGGATTGTAAGAACATTCAGATTGTTGAATGAATATATTCTGTTGAGAAAACTTTCTGTCTAGTAAACATTGTAGTTCACATGAACTCTGTAACTCAACATTTGAAGTCACCAAACTGATGTATATGTCAGCATGTTATAGATGAGTGTTTGAATTTTATCGTCAGTTCGAAATAGAACTCGTCATTAGACCTCTTCTATTTAATAATTAAGATTGATAGAATAGTTAGGCATGTAACAAACACGAGATCATATCTGGTACCTCTAACAACATGTCGTTTCGAACTAATTGTACTTGAGAAGATAGTTAATAATAATAATATTATTATTATTGCATGATAAACTATGATCATTTAAATTTTCGTAGACCACTCAACAGATGGAAGTCTACAAATAGTAAATAATCACGTTACTCACTTATCGAACTGTTGAATGTATCAAATAAGTGCAGTACCCTAATTCTGTTTCCGTGTAATATTAAATGTTTTGTGAAATGGCCTTAGAATTTGAGTATCTAGTCTACGGGACTGATTACTAAATGTTTAACTGTGGTTGTTTTCTGATTCATTTGTATTATTATTATTATTATTATTATTATTATTATTATTATTATTATTATTATTATTATTATTATTATTATTATTATTATTATTATGGGTTATTGACCGTTTGTGAATTCGTTAATTCACTTAA